GATCTCCTTACCTTTCCTTGTCGAAGGTGGACCTGGCAGGATTTTGAGAGACTGGAAGCGTATTTGGAAACGCTAAGGGCAGGAAGTGGTACGACAATTAAAGAGCAATTTCCTTACGCGTTCGCGAATAAAATTGTTTTACAGTGGAAAATTGAGCCGTGGGAGCAAATGTCTGTCGAACAAGAGGATGCTCAATGCGTTCCAAAAAATGGGATGGTGAATTGGTCAAAAATACATTCGCAATTGAATGGAAACATCTTTCCTATTCTGTCGCCTGTGGTCTTTCTTTGCCTTACTGGAAATCCCACGATTGATTCTCATTCCAGCCGCAGGATTGGATCTAAATATATTGGATTAATAAAGCAAACAAAGCACTCCGCGCCAAAATCGAAGGGCAAAATAATTGCATCTGAGGTGATCGACTGGTATAATATTGCAATGAGGAAATTCAATAATGTTAAAATTTTCGAAGCGATAGGATTTATCCTTTTCACTAACCGTGATATTAGTAAGATTGACCGAGAGAAAGCTCTTGCAGCATGCCCCAACTTGATCATAATCTGTAGAGATAATCTTGAGAATTATATGTCATATACTTTTTTATACAGAGGATTTGTAGATGAGACATATAGAAACGAAGAGAGTGCATAACGTTAAATTAGTTTTAATTGCTTGTAAGGCCATTAATTAATTTTATTTTGTTTTGTTTTTCAGGTTATTATAACTGCATTGGCATATAATGGTAATGATTGGTTTTTCTTGACAAAATGTTACTCGTATATCATTATTATTAATTAATGAATCATACATTATGAGTCTATAGGATGAAATAAACATGTAAATAAAAAAATTGAAATAAATATTAATTAAAATGATTATTCGTAATTCATTTCTCAATCTTAAATCCGATTCAAAAAAAAATTTTTTTTAAGTCAATTGTTTGTTTAAATATTGCATAAAAAATCTATTTTATTGTTTTCTTTCAAATAATATATTCTGTATATTTATATTTCTAATAACATTAAATTAAAAAAAATTATTTATAATATTTAGAAGAGCGTCTTAATTTTAATTTCTCTTTTAGTATAGAAGTATAGAATTCTTTTCTATTTTTCTAATATCTTTCACATAAAGAATGCAGTATCACAAAAAAAAGATGAAATATACATAAAGATTAAGATCAAATTAAGATCGAAAAACTAAGGGTCAGGATTTTTTTTTTAGAGAGATTTTTTAGTTTTTTCAGTAAGCCAATTTGTAGGTATAAATACAAAAATTTAAATTTTTCTAATAAATAAAAAAATGTAAAAATGAAATCCTGTTATAAAATAATTGTAAAACAATATAATAAATAAAACCCAGAAATAAAAAATTTTTTATTTTAAAATAAAATGCAGAAACATCATCAAAAATAAAAGTGTATTATACACATAAGATCAGAAAAATAGATAAGATTCAATTTAGAAATGTCAGCTAGCCTTTGATAATTTAAAATGACATTTAGATCAATCATAAAGCTACTTTGTCAAGATGGGAGATTTCAATATTATTTTAGGTTAAATACTCACTGAGAACAACATAGGTCTAATTAGAGAAAAAGATATACTACACTAGTCAGAATAATCCATTTCATTACTTTTTTAACTAAAATATAGTCTAATTTCTACTGATTATTACTAATAAAAATCAGCATTTTAATTGTAACTGAAGTTGCTTAATACAACTGTCATTCAATAAAAAAATCATCATTTAATTATTGGTAGTTATTTGATATTACTGGTCAATTTATCATATTTTAAGGTATCAAAAATTAGTTGAAATATAGTCTAATTTCTGCTGATCATTGATAATAAAAATCAGTATTTTAGTTGTAACTAAAGTTGCTCAATATAACTGTCATTCAATAAAAAATCATCATTTAATTATTGGTAGTTATTTGATATTACTGGTCAATTTATCATATTTTAAGTATCAAAAATTAGTTGAAATATAGTTTAAATTTTGCTAATCATTACCAAAAAATCAGCATTTTGGTAGTTATTTAAATAAATAAAAAATCAGTTATCAATCAGCATTAATATTAAAACTGACCTAAAATCAGCATAATCAGCTTAAAATTAGTTAATAATCAGCTTAAAAACAACCAAAAATTAATTAAGCAATTATTTATAAAATCAAAACTAATAAAATACATTTTTATTTATTTATTACTATATATTGTAGGCTATACTATCCCCTATGTATTATATCACCTCTTTTTTTATCAAAAAAAATTACATTTTTTATTGTTTTTATTATTTAGAAATAATATTTTACACAAATTGAATCAGATCAGATTTGAGCTAAATCTAATCTGATATGAATTTGATAAACTCAAATCTGAATTCAATTTGAATCTAATATATCAGATCAAATTCAAATCTGAATCTGAACAGATCTGAAAAATTCAAATCTGAATCCAATCTAAATCTAACTAATCCAGATTTAAATCTGATGATTCCAAATCTGAAATCAAAAAAATGTTAAAAAGAAACATATTTCAGTTCTAAAAACGCTCAAAAATGTTTCTCTTTAACATTTTCAGTTCTAAAAAAGACTAAATGTTTCTTATTATTAAAGAATTACATTTTTTATTCTAATAAAAAGATCTAAGATATTTCTCTTTACTAAATAGAAACATAATTCAGATTTAAGAAAGACTTTCTTTTTTAAAAAAATGTAATTTAAATCTAAAAAAAAACCTGAAAAGTTTTTTTTATTTTAAAAGAATGTAATTTAGATCTAAAAAGAATCTGAAAAGTTTCTTTTTAATAAAAAGAAATTTTTTTTAATTCTAAAAATAACCTAAAAAGTTTTTTTTTTAATAAAAGGAAATGTAATTCAGATCTTAAAAAGACCCGAAAGGTTCTTTTGAATAAAGAGAAATGTTATTCAGTTCTAAAAAAAAAATCTAAAAAGTTTCTCTTTATTAAAAAGAAACATAATTCAGATCTAAAAAAGGCCTAAAAAGTTTTCCTTTTTTAAAGAGAAACATAATTTAAATTTAAAAAGACTTAAAAAGATTTTCTTATTTAAAAAAAATGTAATTCAGATTTAAAAAAAACTTAAAAAGTTTTTTTTTAATAAATAGAAATATAATTCATATCTAAAAAAGATCTGAAAAGTTTTCTTTATTAAAGAGAAGTATTTCAGTTTCAATTTTAGTTTTCAGATCTTTATCTAATTTGATAGATTTGAGAATCTAATAGATCAGATCAAATTCAAATTCAAATCTGACAAATTGTATCAAATCTAAATTCAAATCTGATCTGAATCTAACAGATTGGATTAAATCTAAATTTAAATCTGAATTTGATTCAAATCTAATAAACCTAATTTAATCTGTAAATTCGAATCAGATTCAAATCAGATTAGATTATTTTCAAAATACTATTTAGAAATCTAATTTTAATTAGAAATTGTGTATTAAACAATTTTCTGATAGTTATATAAATTTTTAAGACATTTTATTTATAATAAAAATTCAAATTATAGACTTAGTAATATAGACTAGTCAAAATAATACATTTCGTCACCTTTTAAAATGCTAAATATTAGCAAAAATATAGCTTAATTTTTGCTGATCATTGTTAAAACAATCAGCATTTTTAGTTATAGTAGAAGTTACCTAATTCAGATGTCATACAAATAAATATTTGATATTAATAATAATAGTTATTTGATATCACTAGGCAAAATGATATAATTCATCACATTTTAAAATGCCAAAATTTAACCAAAATATAATCTAATTCTGCTGATCATTGCCAAAAAATCAGCATTTTGAATAAATAGAAAATCAGCTACCAATCAGCATTATGTTAAAAATTGATTAAAATTTAGTATAAATCAGCTTAAAATCAGTTAACAATTAGCTTAAATATAACAAAAAATCAATTAAACAATTATTTATAAAATTGAAACCAATAAACCTTTTATTATTTATAATTTTATTTTATTATTACATAATAAATTACTAAAAATATATATATATTGCATTATATTTTTATTCAAAAAAATACATTTGATTTTTTAAAAATAAGAAAATAAAGTAAACAGTTAGAAAATTACCAAAAAAATATTTTTGAAAGATTTACCTTAATATATTTCTAAAAAAAAAATAAAGAAAATAATTTGAAATTATCAAAATATCATTTTTAAAAGGCTTACCTTAATGCAGTCATGTGTATTTTATGCTTTCAATAGTAAAAAATTTGATTGAAAGTTTTTAATCCAAATAATTTTATTAATAAATTGTATTTCCAAACCTTTCAAATATGTTTCTAAAAGTACTTCCAATTTTTCAAATACATATCACTGCCTTAATGTATTTCTAAAGAAAGTAAATAAAAAATAAAGAAAACAGTTAGAAAACTATTAAAATACTACACTTAAAAGGTTTATCTTAATGTATTTCTAAAAAAAGTAAAGAAAAATAAAGAAAATAGTTAAAAAAATCACCAAAAACTACTTTTGATTTACTTACCTTAATGTAGTAATACCTGTCTAAACTCTTTTTTGAAAATTATAATTCCGTCAAAAAGTTTCATCTTTTTAATATTTTTATATGAATAAATATAAAATTATTATATTTTTAATATATTTTAATTCAAAGAATTTAGATTAAATTAAATATAATTTCAGCAATTAAGTAAAATAATTTTGTTATTAATAAAAACTAGTTTCGTTATTTTAGTTTCGTCAATTTCATCATATTAAGAAAGGTAATTTTGTCAGGTATTACTATCTTAATATATTCCTAAAAAAAGTAAAAAAAAATTAAAAAAATAGTTATAAACCCATCAAAAACCATCTCTGATTTACTTATCTTAATGTATTTCTAAAAAAGTAAAGAAAAAGTAAAAAAAACTATTAAAAACTATACTTCTAAAAGACTTACCTTTATGTATTTCTAAAGAAAGTAAAGAAAAATAAAGAAAAAAAGGTTAAAAACCATCTAAAAGTACTTTCTGAAAGGCTTATCTTACTTATCTTAGCTTTAAAAAAAGAATTTTCCTAAAAAATCAAAGAAAAATTATTACTGATTTACTAACCTTAATTCTCAAAATAAGAATTTTCTAAAAAATAAAAAAAAAAAATGTACAAAAAATCACTTCTGATTTGCATATCTTAATTCCAAAATAAGAATTTTCTAAAAAATAAAAAAAAGAAAGGAAAAAGATAAAAAATCCATCAAAAATCCCTTTTGCTTAAAAAAAAGAAAGGAAAAAAAAATAAAAAAAAAATATATTTTTTTAGAAAAACCCAAAAGTTAATTAGTTTATATTATAAACTGAACTAAAATTTATCTAAGAATGATTTATCATAAATATTCTAAACAGATGATTTTGTATCATCTAATTGAAATAATAATAAAATTGTTTGAAAGAAATAATACTTTAATTATTCCTTACAATTGATAACAAAATCATTCAAAAAGAATAATATTTTATCATTTAAATAAAGAATGTTAATAAAAATCATTCTTTTAGAATAATAATTTAATCATTCCAAAAAAATGATAAAAAAAATCATTATTCTTTTAGAATAATAATGTATTGTTTTAAAAGAATAATAAAAAAAATAGTTTTTTGAAAAAGAATAATAAAAAA